GCTATTACCTTTTTTAATGCTCCTTTCAATTCTCCGGTCGTTCAAGTTTCTACAGGACCAAGATACAATAATGTATTACCACCACCTAATCCTACCAGTAATAATAATATTCATCCACCTCATCTTCCGCCCCTAAACCTACCAAAAAAACTCGAAAATCAGCCACAGTCACATACGTCATCTACATCTTCGTCTCCAGAACCCACAAGTCATTGTCATCAAGTACAACCATCTGAGAATAATAATGATGAGGATAATGAGACAAAGCGCGTCAAAACACTTGAGGAAAAACGAGCCATTCGCTTAGAACGAAACCGTATCGCAGCTAAAGAGTGTCGCGAAAGAAAAAAAGCCTATGTCTTAAATTTAGAACGTAGAGCTACTCAAATGGAAAAAGAGAATTCGGTTTTACGTAAAAGAGTTCACGAATTAAAAGCTCAATTGGAATGGGCTGAATCAAAAACTGTTGGCCCTGTTGAAAATGGCCAATTAGAAGCTTTGGTAAGAGAATTGAAAGAAAGGGTAAAAAAAATGGAGAATGGTGAGGATTCTAATATTGTTTTTGGCAAGATGGTTGGTCAATTGTAGAAATGTAGAAATGTAGAAATGTAGAATTTTTTTTAAATTGCGATGAGTCATTATTCTATTTAGCATGATAAGATACTCTTCATTGCGTTTGATCATTTGCTCTCCTAAAAAAAGTATTCTCCTGTCCTTGATGTTTTCCTTGATGTTCCCTTGATGTTTCCCTTGATGTTTCCCTTGATTTTTTCGTGGGTTGTATTTAGTAATAGTTTGATTATTAAAAAAATAGTAGTAATAATAATATGGGGGATATGTCTGTTTCTTTTGATATAATGCTCAGTGGATCAAAATGGATCAAAAACGACACACACAAAGAATACGTACAAGAATACACACAAAAAATATACGTGCAACTCAAAATCACGCAATAATAAACACGCAACATTGGTATATTTTATACGTCACGACGTCATATGATTCTATTATTCTTCGCACATGTGCAATACAGCAGTACACAGACCGATCATAATCACGTACGCACGACGTACGTACAGTACCGGTACTATTACGTTATCGTTATGAGGCTTATTGTGTCGTGTAATGGATTGGATATTTTTTTTTTTTGCAAGCCCTTTTTTAGCCCAATAAAAAAATCTTGATCGATTACACCGCAGATCTGAACGAATACATACATAGAAAAATTCCCCAGATCTAATCTTTTTCATAAGTAACCGTGATACGTTAGACCGAAATCGTTAAAACTTTTAATCTCATATATAATATAAAGTAGTATTAAACGATCATTCTGGATTTCATTCCCGACACTTTTCTTTTTTATTTTTTGATTCCCTTGGTTCTTGTTTTTGATTGTTTGATAGTTGTATCAACTTTTATAATAGGTAAGAATTGCATTTGCGAATAAAGTTATTTGTTGCCGATAAATTACGTACGAATATTTTAATTTGGTTAAAATCGACATTCCCAATTTTGCATTGTTCGAAAATTATGATCTCTGAAGATAAATTATCTGCATAAAGCTGCTTTCTTTTGAGGCTTCTATAAATTATTAATTTATTTAATTCATTTAATTCATTTTAAACTTTTTAAAATTTACCGCTGTCTCATTCGATGATAAATACATTAAAAAGTTAATATCGTAATAAATCTTGTTAATTTAATTACCCTTAATTACACTTTTTTTAGAATGTATCGTTTTTAAACATATATCATTATTAAGTAATTTCTTCTATCATTTATTATTATTGTTGCAAAAAAAAAAAAAAAAAACTTAAAATATTTATTTCATCATTTTCTGAATTTAAATTTTAAACATTAATTTTACTAATTTTATTAATTTTATTAATTTTATTAATTTTTATTAATTTTTATTAATTTTGGTTTTAGATGATAATATCTTCTATCAAGACAACCAAATATTACGTAAAAAATACATATATATTATTTAATCAATAAGGTAAAATGTCAATTATAATCATTTCTTTATCATAATTTCCTTAATTATAATCTAACAATTCAATCTTCGATGTTATTTCAAGTTATATACGAAAAAAATGGCTACTTCCTATCCGATACTCAATGACATATTCATTTTCCTTAATAGCACAATTACAGACATTTCAATAGTTTATTCAAGAATTCCAGGTTCAGGAATTCTTTTGAAATATATAAAAAATTCTCATCAAAATGACCCATTTCGCACTTTTTTGGAAGTTTTGTTGGTGATTTTTGCCATCATATATTTATTTACAAATAAATATAGTACCGATAATAAATTAATCGATTTAACTCCAAGCGTATGTCTCTTCTCTTTAATGAATTTTGTTTTCTATTCTATTTTTTTTTTTTGATGAAAATATCGGATCTTGAAAATTTCTTTTTCAGGAAGTTGAAGAATTAGTTGAAGAATGGCAACCAGAACCACTTGTACCAACTATTACGGAAAATCAACGTGTGGAATTGGAAAAATTTCCGATCTTAAATGGGTAAGCTTTTTTAATTTTATATTTTATATTCTTTAAAATTTTTATTCCATCTTCAGATTCCATGATCTTCTCAACCGAGATTTAATTATGTCGATCTATTGTAACAATATTAGCCCACAGAGTCCAAAAGTTAAATTAGTAAATTGCAAAAATTCTTTGATAAATCTGGCCAGTTTTGACTTTCTCGGATTAACTACAAATCAGCCAATTAAGGTATTTAATTATTTTATTATCATTTTTAATTCCTTTTTTTTATTTTATTTTTTTTATTTATGGAAATGAGTAGTTGATGATTTACACTAAGTGATATAAACTAAATATGATTAATCATTTTATTTAGGAAAAAGCAATACAAATTCTTAGAAAATATGGCGTAGGCTCATGTGGTCCTCCAGGGTTTTATGGCACAATCGGTATTTTTTTATTTAATAAATAAAATATAATAATACATTTTGTTATAATACATTTTATTATAATAAATTTTATTACATACTTTTCATTACATACTTTTGGGATTACAAAAAACAGATGTTCATACAGAATTTGAAAGAACAATTTCAGAATTCTTAGGAACTGAAGATACTATATTATATTCTCAAGCTTTTTCTACTATTGGTTCGGCTATTCCTTCTTTTTGTAAAAGAGGTGACATTATTGTCGCGTAGGTTATTGATTTCTTTCTTAGTTTCTTATTATGAAGTGTACTTTTAAATGTTTTTTAATCTATTCTTATAGTGATCAAGGTTGTAATTTCGCCATTCAAAAAGGTATACAGATTTCTCGCTCCATCATTAGATGGTACAAGCATGATGATATGCAAGACCTTGAAAATGTTTTACTAAATATTAAAAATGAAGATATTGAAGTATGTTGTTGTATTGATATTCTTGATTTTACTTGTAATGTTATTATAATTTTTAAACAAATAAATAATTATCATTAAATTTCTTTCATTAGTCTGGAAGAAGGCTCACAAGAAGATTCATCGTCACTGAAGGCATATTTGAGAATTCTGGAAAAATTGCTCAACTACCCAAACTGGTATGTAAACATGTCTTTGTAGATGTTATATTACACCATTCTCCATATTTAAATATATCTTTGTATCTTTAAATTTTAATTTAGCTTGAGTTAAAGAAAAAGTTCAAATATCGACTTATTCTTGACGAAAGCCTATCAATTGGAACATTGGGTAAACGTGGTGCTGGATTAACTGATTATTACAATATCAATGTAAGTCATTATTTTTTAATATTTAAATTACGGTTTACATTTATTTATAAATATCGAATTATTCATTACCTTACTACTCGCCTACTCGCTGCAGCCAAAAGATGTCGACATGATCGTTGGTTCCATGTGCACTGCATTATGTTCTTCTGGTGGTTTTTGTTCCGGTTCATTTGAGATCACTGATCATCAGGTTTATATAGTTTAAATTATTATTAAAATGTTTTAATTTGAATCTTAGTATCTTATTTTTAATATGTCATTTGTAGCGTATTTCTGGTCCTGCATATTGCTATTCTGCTGCTTTGCCTGCTGTGCTTTCAGCATGTGCTACAGAATCTGTTAGGAATTTGGATAGAAATCCACATCTTCCAGCTAAAATTTTATCAAATACAAGTACTTTTAAAAGTAACATGTCGAATGCGAAATATGTTACAATTGCTGGTTGTCCTGATTCTCCAGTGTTTCATATAAGATTAAACGAAAATGTAAAAGCTAATAGTATAGAAGAAAAGGAAAAATTTCTTCAAGAAGTTGTTGATGAGGTATGTTTTAATTACTCATTTGTCTTTAAATAATAATAATGATAATAATAATAATAATAATAAATTTTATTTATTTATTAATTAAGGCAATGAATAATGGTGTTCTTTTGACTCGCGCGAAATATGTATATGCGCAAGAAATGTTTAATATAGAGCCCAGTATTCGAATTTGCATCTCTGCAAGCCTTAGCAAAAAAGAAACTGAAAGGGCTGCGGCAATTATTAGAAGCGCAACCAATAAAATTTTGAAAAATAAAATTCGATAACGAATATAAGTTGTATTTATTTGATTCCTTTTTTTTTTTGTTTAATGTAATTGTAGTTTAAAAATTCTTTTACAAAACAATTTTAAAATTATATATATGTTTATTATGGTGACAATGGCAAAAAATAAATGTTAATAGAAAATTTATTATGTATTTTACTTTGGAGCGATTTCATTTGTATTCATACGTATATATATTTTTTCTTTTTTAACACAAGTTTACTGGGGTTTTTTTTTTATTAATAAAAAATTTTATTTACAATAACATTAATTACAAATTACATCTAGTATAAATTTCTTAATAACGGTATAAAAAATATATATTTTTCGACTAGGCTTATAACAATTCGAAATTGTATCCAATTTGGACGTAAGCATGAATAAATAAATCATTTAAGAAAAACTAGAGTTAGGCACTTACGGAGGGGGAAAATATATGTCGACGTTATATATAAAAAATAACGGAAGAACGATTTGAAATAAAAACTAAATAAATAAATAAAAATTCTCGTTCCAACATTGGAAGCGGGCAAGGTCCTACCATTCGGATTATACAGCCCCAAAACGCGACCCCTTACACGATCAGGCAGGATGAGTAACTGCTACCCTATTGCCTCGTAGCCAAACCCTTACAAAAAACGAGCAAAGTTTTCCACGTCTCTGGGGTTAAAGACTTCTTCTGTTATCGTTTATAAATAACGAAAATAATATCTGTTCTTTCTTGGACAAAAAAAAACGACTACATGATCAATATTTAATATCGTAAACAACTACGCAGGATCAAAGTAGATAATTCCAAGAAAACAACATCCCACTGATCGCATTGGATTAGGGATGTTATAAATAGTTCACAGGGGTCGGGTCCAGACTGGTTCTGGACTAAACTTTTTAAGGACCGTTTAAAACCAATCCGAAACTAACGCTAATCCAAATAATCATATAACATGAGATACTTTTATATCGCTAAAATTTAATCGGTATAAACTTAATTGGGTAATTAATTAGATAATTACGTACGTAAGTTACGTAAAAAAATCAAAATTACTGTTATGTAATATGTATTGTATATTAAATTGCCAGGGCTGGACTGGTTTCAGGGAGGGGTCATGAACTAGTTCATCCAGATTTTTTAATGACTGAACTGGGACCGGACCAGACGAATTTTTTAACATCCCTAATAGTAACAAAACAAAATACCTAACCTATCAAAGAAAAAATAAAATAAATTAGTGCTATAAAAAAATAAATGAATAATATTACAAAAAAATTATAGATTTATAAAATCGAGCTTCTATTCACTTTTTGGC